CCCACTGTATATGCTCCCCATGTACCTTATACTGGATATTTATAAAATAAAAGGCTGCACTCACCCTATAGACCTGCCCAATAAATTATAGTGCAAGTCTCAATAATAATATATTCATCATTGTGCATACAATCAAAATTTAAATGCCTTTTAACCCTTTCGCTGCCAGGCCCTGCACTCCACTTTTAAACTCAAGTGGCCAGGCCATTTTTGTAATTTTTCCATTGCTTTTTGATTTTTCCCTTTACAGCTTTCAGAGTTTGTAAAAGACCCACCAAACCATATATTTTCTGACTACATGACCAGTAGAATAAAAACAAGTTGCTCCTAAATTTAAAGACCTCGTAATATTTGCACAAATGTTTATCAAAACAATATTTTCGCTAAAAATACACTAAAATCATTATTAATAGCAAATTAGTGCCTTTATCCTACAAAATATATAAGATGAACCAGTATTGAGGTAATAAATAAATATTTGTAAATTTTAAATTGCACCTTTTTGCAAAAAGGTGAAAATCGAGCGTACGCAAAAATGTAAATAACTACATTTGTCTAAAAATCTGGAGGTTTTCATTCTCATTTACAGCTTTCAGAGTTTGTAACCCCAAGCCATATATTTTCTGAAAACACATGACCAGTAGAGTAAAAAGAAGTTGCTACTAATTTTTAAGGCCCAGTGACACTTGCACAAATGTTTATCAAAACAATATTATTGTTATTGTAAATGGACTATTTATGCACTTCTGGCTGGATGCTAACTGCATTTCATTGGCTCTGTACATGTACTTTGCACAATGATAATAAAGTTGTATCTAATTTTTGCTAAAAATACACTAAAATCATTGTTCGCAGATACAAACACAGCAAATTTTACAAAATTCAGCTAAATTCCCACAAAATATAAAAGCTTAACCTGTATTAAGTTAATAAATAACAAATATTTGTACATTTTAAATTGTGCCTTTTTGGGAAATGGTGAAAATCAAACCAATTTCTTTAAAAAAACTGGAGATTAAAATTTTTCACTTACAGCTTTCAGAGTTTGTAAAAGACCCCCCCAAACCATATATTTTCTGAAGGCACATGACCAGTAGAATAAAAAGAAGGTGCTACTGATTTTTTTTAGGCCTCGTAATAGTTGCGCAAATGTTTATCAAATCGTTATTTTAAAAAAAAACACTAAAATCCTTATTAGCACACATAAACACAACATAAATTACAAAATTCCTGCTACATTCCTACTAAAGTTTCATTCAATGGGGTGTGCTCAAGCATACACCTATGGAGGGCCGTGTTTACATGGGGATGTACAGGTGTTCTGTACATCCCTGTGCAGGCAGACCTATTTATGTCAGTTGGGAAGCAGCGGCTGTAAGGACAGATCTGACATTCGTGTGGGTATAGGCAGTGGTGTATTTAGGTTTTGTGCTGCCCTAGGCAACACAAAAATTGGTGCCCCCCGCAGAGAGAGCCTGATATTGACCAAGAGCACCCCTGCCCTACTCCTGAGGCTTCAACTACCACTACCCCCCATACACCAGCCACCATCCCCCGTAGCGAGAGAGAGAAAGACACTCACCTTCACAGCTCTGGACATTCCCTGGAATGAAAGTCGGCTGTGCATACACTGTCATGAAACCCACAGCATCTCTCGAAACCCACCAGGTCCCCATGCCGCGTGTGTCCCTTCTTCCATCCCTTCTTCCAAGGGCCAGTGCTGCCCCCCTGAAAAATACCACCCTAGGCAAATGCCTTGTGGTAAATACACCCCTGGGTATAGGTGCATGGCCCCAAATGCAGACAGTTTGAGTTCAGGGACCTGCTCCCACATGGATGTCAAGTTGGGAGTAGTGGCTGTGTCTATGCAGCCGCTGTGTCCCAGTTGATATGGGAGCAAATTGGATCATGCTTTATTGTTTTTTTTTTTTAGCCTTCCTCTGGATCAACTGAGGGTATAGGATCATGTATATGGAGGTTTTCTATTTGTGTGTGGTGTGTTTTTTTTGTTTGTTTTTTTTTTCAACCAGACTAACTATGTAACTATGTCTTCTGAAATATGAATTTCAATTAGTATAGAATAAAATAAAATAGAACAGAATAGAAAAGAATAGAGTAAAACAAAATAGAAGGAAAAATAATAGACTATAAAATAAAGGAATAGAATAGAAAATAAAGGAGTAGAATAGAAAAAAGAATAGAATAGAAAAAAAAAGTATAGATTAGAATAGAAAAAAATAGAATATAGCCGTCTTTTGAATAGAAAAGAACCAGCTATTCTTCACAATGATTTTAGATCATTTCAGTATTTTCAATTCAAATTAAATTTGAGAAAATTTAAATCCGATCAAAAATGAATAAACAAAATGAAACCAATTTTGAATGCAACTAAATGGAAATAGTAATTTAACTAACGAATCCAAAACAAAACTAAATGATTTTTTTTGTTTTGCACATGTCTAATCTGAACCAAATTCAATCAGACAGTGCCACTGGGGTGCCGTACATCACTTGTCAAGGAACCAGAAGTGTTTCTGCAGCAAGAGAGGTAGAATAGAGCCTTTCATGGGCATAATTTCATGTCCCAGCCTTGTCAGCCATGTACATTCCAAGTGTAGACATTTGGCAAACAAATTGCCTTATTCAGCTACTTCTGGACCCAAGGGAATGCTCCCTTCTGCCAGAGATGTTCCCAGACCTCTGTTGCAGGTGGAGGATGCTGGATGTGGTCCAGGTTTAACAGTAAATTTGACTGTTTTGAACCCATGTACAAGGATCCTCTAGTTGAAGCAATGGATGCTGTGGTGCACCTGATTCATGCTTTGCCTTACATAAAGCATATTCTTTGCTTCAGAGGGTTGAGATGAAGGGCATTCCAGTGATCCATATTGCTCTGAGCTGCCCTGGTGTATGTCAGCACCTGGTTAAATGGATGCACTACCAGATCATCACAATCTTCTGTCCCAAGGACCAATTTGCCATCCTGTTTTACAGTCATTGGCTTTAACAGCATTGCTGTTGAGGCTCAGGTTCTGAAGGACAGGGGAATAAGTGATTCATACAGTGCTAAAAACTTGAAAATCCACTTTCCACAAAGACATGGAAGGTATACCTCACTTGGTGTGAGTCTCAAAGCTTCTGCAACAGTTTCTGTATGGGACATATTTCTCTTTTTTGAGTCTGTATCAGTGTTTGGCTCTCAGCAGTGTCAGGGGTCTGGTTTCTGTCCTTTATATTCTGTTTTAGGGACAGCTGGTCTCTTACTCTTTAAAATAGAGCTCCCCAAAAGGGGAAGTTCCGTTTAAAGGCCTTGTCCCCTGCTCCCAGTTAAGGATTGGCACCTCTGGGGTGCGGGGGAGGATACCTGAATGTGACAGGTATCCGCTCCCACTTCCACTGCGATTACCTAGGCAATTGAAAGTGGAAGTTGTCCTCACACCCTCCCCGTAGTTTTCTGGGACACTTGACAGGTCCTAGAAAGCTACGAGACCATTCACAAAGCGCAGGGCTGCTTGCGCATGCAAAGTGGGCACCCGGCTGTGAAGCTGTGAAGATGCAGGCACCAGGGACACAGGGCAGCCGGTAACAGAGGCTGTGGTGAGGACCGAGCGACAGGGGAATGTCTGTTTGTTAAAAGTCAGCAGCTACAGTTTTTGTTTTTCAATTTTGAGTGGACTCTGCTTTCAGTAAGACCTTCGAACAGGGAGCCTTCCATGTGACTCCCATATTCAGTGGCTTTGTGAGACTTGAATCTGGTTCTTTCTATGCTTCAGAAACTGCCGTTTTTAAACCCACTGGAGACATTCATCTCTCTACTCTCAACTACAAGGTCATCCCCAAGGTGTTTGTTTTTTTTTTTGTAGCAATTATGTCTTTGAGGAGAGTGTCTGGTGACCTTATCATGCAGAAAACTTTCTGCATTGGGGCAATGTGGCATTGAGACCCAGAACTTCCTTCTTGCTTTAGCAGTTTCTTACTTTCATCTCAACCAGGTCATTGTTGTTTTGTCCATCTTTCTGGATGCAGTTCACCAAAAGGAAAATTTCCCTCTAATTTCTACATGTGTGCAAATTTTATCTTTTTGGCTACTGCTTCTTTCAGAAAACCTGATTCCTTTTTTCATCCCAGATGGACCTCTTAAGGGTGCACTGGCTTCTTGTTCCACTATCTCTAGGTGGCTAAGACAGACCACCATCCAACCTTGTAGTCTCAAGGATCAGGTTCCATCATTTCCTGCCATAGTGCACTGTACTGGATCTGTGAGCACTTCTTGGGATTTTTTACATCAAGCATCTCTTTCCCAGATTTGGAAGGCTGCCATCTGGTTTTCTGTATTGCACCTTTGATTTGGGTCATAAAGATCTACCAAGTGGATGTTTCAGCCTCATCTGATGCCAGCTTCAAGCATAAGGTTCTTCATGTGGCATTTTGAGCTACAGAGTGACCCTAGTTATCTGCTGTTTTCATGATCCTGTTAGTGTTTGTTGTGTTGCCCAGTGTTAAGTTGGACTGGTTTTGGGAGTTCTGAAGGTTAACTACCCCTCTAGGATCATTCTCATGGTTGTGCTTTGCTACAAAATGAAGACATGATATAAGTGGCAGGGGTTTTCCAGGGTTGGCCTAAAGCTTTTTGTTTGCCAGTGTCCAATTCATCTATAGGTGGCAGTATAAACCGAAGGTTAATGTCCTCCTGTGCTCTTCAATTTTACATCTTGACATGTTTGGTATTAATTTACTCAATGCAGCATCATCTAAAGTTCAAGTGTACTTTTTCCTGAAAATTTGCATTTGATAAACAGCTGCACAAATATTGTGTGACAAAAAATTGCCACCATTTTATTTTCCACGGCCTCTGTTTTCAGAAAATTTATAATTTTTGAGGGTTCAAAGTAGTTTTCAAGAAAAAAATGCTAATTTTAACATGCGTCACCAAATAAGTAAAAGCTTGTCATGCCTTATGTAACCACTGCTGATTTTTTCTCTCTCCGATTTACAGGACCATGCGTGTAAATGAGGACACAGTGCTGAGAGGGCAGTGGGTGATATTAGTACCGTATGAGCCTCACCATGTTGTCAGGTACCAGTTTCATGAAACAAAAGCATTTGTAGTGTTAATGTCAAAACTGAACTCAGGCAAACAGCTGAACATACAGTTGAAATACATATACAGCATGGGAGCTGTTTAATTCTTTCGCCAAATGATTTGTAGTTCTGTCCATTCAGTTGTGAGAGTTACACACCCCTACTAAGTAACAGAGCAGGGTTGGTGGCATGACTAGTGTTAAATCTAAATTATGATTCGGCACTTTATATTTATGGCAAGCTTGCAATGATTAGTCATAATTAATATTAATATGTGTAAGTGGTCTTTGACAAATGATAGTATTTTACTATTCTTCAATTATAGCTGAGACCAAAGATATTACAAGTTAAGCTGAAATAGTATATACCAGTTGAAAGTTGAGGAGACTATATTTAGAGATAGTTGGTTAAAAGTATTTGATAGTTATGTCAAGGTTATTAGAAGGGACTTACTATTACAGTACGTATTTTAATGGTAATCTGTGTGTATATTTAGTATACGTTTCTAAACATTGATACATTTACGTCAATAGCTTGATAATATTATGTACATCAGCATACATATGTTCCTGTCCATCAAACATCATATGTATAGCATCCTTTCCTTATATGAAATGACTTTGCTAAGCAGTAATACTTTCCATAGAAGGTATTAAGATCACTAACAATGACGTACATTTGCCTCATAAAAGACCATCAGATAACGGACAGAGAGAGACTCACACACACACACACACACTTACGCTAACATGACACTCTTTGCATACACACGTCTGAGAAGCTGCAACAGGTGCTGCAAGACAAGACAGTCCATTAACGTCACTTCAGTCTACTTCCGACTAGTCTTTCTTTCTCGGACTGAGAACGGACAAGGACATGAGACGCACATGGCAAGGACAGCCATGACAGATAATGGTGACTTTGTTTTAAACGTTTGCTTGTCATTTTACATGGAACTGTTCATAATACGCTTTACATTGTTATTTTAAACACCATTGTGTGATAGAATAAAATCACACTTCATTTTTTATTTTCAATGGCTCTTTTATTCATAATCGCCTCAAGACACTAGAAGTATTATATGTGTCTAAAAATCCAACATTTTGGTGAGCCAGCCACCGCCGAACGTATTTTTTTTCTACGGATTTCCCCTCAATGCCCTTGTTTAAGGGGGAGGAAAACCTACGCACAATTCTGTGATTGTCAAGTCTTGGGAAAAACACGGTGAAAAAATCCTAGCAGAACAGGCGATTAAAAGACTTGGACGAGAAGTCCAGCACTGAGCCGGGTCAAACGAGAAAATCCTCTGATTACGGTGAGTAACAATTATGGAATTTATTGATGACCTTAGTAAAAGAAAGCAAGTTAGAAATTTAAGGATGTTTCTTTATATCCTGAAGACAGTCAGCATATGCACTATATGTATAACGAAGTTTACAGGCCAATATTCAGATAGATAAATCTAGATTACCTGTGCACAGACAACGTAAAAAGATATCTAAACATCTTAAACTTTTAGTAAGAATATTCAACAAAATGATTTTGAATGTTGATTTATCTGTTAAAAAAGCTTTGTACATTAAAACAGACAGAATGTAGCACTGTACAGCATGAAAATTTGTCTCAAGATGCTCCTAGTTGCCCAAACTGTAGTGACATTTTTCTGTAATTACGTAGAGAATCTTGAGGACAAAATTGACTTAAAGACAAATCTTTTTGTTAAGACATGCAGAATGACAGTAAACACAGGTTGCCATGATAAACACAGATGACAAACAGAGTGATTCAAAATCAGAGCCCACGGCTGTCCGATATCTCTGAAAGTTCGGATATTGACAATCTGATAACGAAACACAAATTAAACATAAAGAATTGTTATGTAAAACTGCAAAACTTAAGTTGCAAATACATAATCAATTAATGAAAGTTTTAAAAGACATCCCTGCTTATGATCCAGATAAAGATATTTATAGCAACATGGAAGCATATGAAATGCATGTCAAATGCATCAGATTTCAGATCATGACATAAAATATTTATATTTCCGATGTGGCTACCAATTAAATTTATGTCTCGCATTAAAAATTCTGTTGTGTAAAACGATAAAGATCAGAAAAAACATAATGACGCGACAGACAGACTGCGACAATTTCTGTTATGTTCAACAGGTGAAAGACGTACCTTCTGTTAGAAATGCTCGACTTACTTCAGACTACTGCTGACGAAGACCCTTTTGAATTTAAAAATAAGTTTTCCAAAGCATATAAAATTATATTTGGAGTAGAAAATGAGGTAGACTCAGCTATTATCAAAGCTTTTGTAAAGAAATTTCACGTATTTGAAGACACAGTACAGGCCTAACCATTGTCATAGCAGAGGAAAAAAAAATTTGAATGACATAGTAAGTTTCATTGACAAAATTCGGAGAAAATTGAAAAATAGTAATATTATGAGGTGGCTGCGCTTCAAAGTGACAAAAACAGTCAGATTACAGTTTGCCAGGAACTACAGGTCCCAGTTAAGAATGACAACGACAGATGCAAGCAACTGAGTCATAATGAGGATACCACATGCTTTCACTGTCATAAAACCAAGGTCATATCAGACGCCATTGTTGGAAGTTTAAATTTGACTCACAAATAAAGAGAAATGGAAATAAAAAGTGAAAAAGCAGCCCTTTGTACAATCCCTGCTGTGTTGTTTAATGATAGAAAATTTAACTGAAATTGCCTTAAGCCTCATCAGTTAAACAGATTCTGTGAAACAACTGTTCTGACACAACAGGGGTGAGAAGGGCTGTCACTGACAGAAATGGTTTATTACCAGTTCCAAAAATAGAATCACGTACATTCATCAATATCCCCGATATCGTTAGAATTTGTCGCTCCAATTGTATTTGACAATGGAAGGCCTTTTATAGACGGATTACTAAATGTAAAAAGATCAAATTCCTAATTGACAGCGGATCTGAGATTAATCTTACCAGATTTTAAAAAACGTACCTGTGAAACCCAAATTCACACCCCATGTGTAAAATAAAAGGTTTTTAATAATACAGGTCATTCCACTGCTAGACTTTTGCCTAAATGTAACATTTGAAATACCTGATGGCTAGTTGAAAACTAACATTGAATTTGGATATAGGAATGCCACCGAGAATATTCAGTGGCAGGCATTGATTTTATCAATAAGCAAAAGTGGTATTATTGTATTATGATAAAGTTATTTGGAGGAATCAAAGGCCCAAATCAATGTTAATGGATCCTTCTATATACAGTGATGTTGGTTTCAACTCTCAAAAATGTCTACAGCACAAAAATGGCCTGATATTGATGGTAATTATGCCTTTACAAGAATTGGTACAACGTTTTCCAAGTTTGTGGTCAAAATTTAAAAATTACTAGGAACTTTGAAAGATACAGAATTGAATATTGAGGGAAAAGATCCCATACCCCTTAATCAATATGAATTACCACACGAGAAATCAATAGGACCACACTTTCTGCCATTATTCAAGAGTTTGTACAACTTGGCATTTTAAAGAAAACACAATCAGTAGTAAAATAATGTATATTGGCCTATCAAAAATGTGACAATTCATATTCATTTTCAGTGATTTCAGGACACTGAATAAACTATTGCAGTTCATTGTAACTCCTGATCAATTCATAATATCAAGGTTTTAAAGGGAATCCAAAGTGTTTTCTGTTTTGGAAATCGATAAACAGTCATTTTTTTTTTCGATCCCCATAGCTAAAAGTTGTCAATCTTACAAGCTAGCTTTTAAAAGTTTCAGAAAGAGACCTATGCATTCACTCGATGTAGCTGGTTTCAGTGAATAGTCCATAGAAAAAATTCTAATCACAATTTTCAAGGCCAGAACTGCATTTTTTTTCAGCATGAAATACTTCAATTATGCTGCATTTAAACGAAACATATTACTCTTTTGTTGTCTGATTTATTCCTAGCAGGATCCAGGCCTAAACAATTAAACCCGGACAGAGTTATTCAGTTGATGAAAAGTCAGGTGAATTGTTTTCAATGCAGAATTACAGACAAATATTGCCTGTTCACCATTTTTTTTCCTACAAACCTCATAAAGCACAATTGCAACAATTTTTGTTTAAGTCATTGCAAAATTTTATTTTTGCAGAGAAAGTTAATTTCAAAGTAACAAAATAACTTAGTTTGACCACACGGGGTCCAAGAGAACTAAATTATAAAAGTCTGTGAATGAAAAAATTAGCAGAATGCGCCAGCATTAGGTACAATTGAGGTTTGTTCCAATGCTCCATTTGTTGTGAAAATCATGTATCTGACCACATGCAATTTTCCAGTAACACCTTTGTCTTCAATTAAAAGAAGGTGATGAAAAGACTAATTAGTTACTTCTCCAGATATTTATCACTATTGGGAAAGAACTTTTACATCAGAGGCACAACACACTGTTTGAGTTTTCTTTTATGACAATCAAAGCTTCACACAAAGCACAGTAAAGTCACATAGTTCATATTACAGTCTCCTGACAGTTCATAAGAAGAATTCTTGAGGATAAAAATTACATTCAGAGAATGCCGTGAAAGGTATCCTCAGTGGATAAGAGCACTGTTAGCCCAAAACACATTGTGATAGGTACTGCATCAGACAAGTCTCTACCTCACATTACAACAGCAGTTCATGAAAAGGCAACCATTACTGAAGAACACTCTAACACCAGAATAATGACATCAGAACAGAAAACAGTTAATTTCTAATATTATAGGGAAATGAGAACAAAGGCATAAACCTTTGTCATCTCTGGGGTGATACAAAAACCTTTCTTTGTTTAATAAAAAAGGGTTTTGCGGTCATGACCTATGATGAAATATTGCGTCCTGTCATACCTAAATAACACACTACTTTTGATATTCTAGTTTAGGTAATTTCAGACAAGATTAGGACAGTATTTGATTGATATATAGAGGTTTTCTGTAAAAGGAAATAGAAAGTAATAAT